CCCCCCCCCCCCCCCCCATAGACTCTCACCGCAACACCATGGCCTCCGAGTACAAATACGACGAGGAGTCCGAGACTTGGCCCTACTTCGTGTTGGCCCTTCTCGTTTTTGCGTTGTTGCCCCTCACGTATAGATATGTCAGTGGGTTGTTCGCCAGAGATCGGCCGGCCCAGAAACCCGCAAAGGGCGCCCTTTCGCTTGACCACCAAGCATTGGACTTGCCCCACTCGGCCCAGATTAGCAAGCTCCAGTTCAGCCTGGCCTCTAGCCGAGTTTTCAACAAAAAACTCGTGTTTGTCGTGGCTGGATGGGCGCTTGTGGCGTACATCTGGACCACCTACGCACAAGAGGTGAGTTTGCAGGGATTCTTCGACCCCTACACCATCTTGGAAGTGCCATACACGGCCACGGAGCGAGAGATCAAGACCCGCTACAGAATGTTGTCCTTGACGTTCCACCCAGACAAGATCGCCAAGGACTTGAGCGACGCCGCAAAAAAGGAAATGGAGGAGGCATACATCCGCATCGGTCTCGCGTACAAGGCATTGACGGACGAGGCCACCAAGGAGAACTTGCGCTTGTACGGCCACCCCGACGGCCCGCAGGATATCTCCCACGGAATCGCCATTCCCAAGTTTTTGGTGGAGGGCAAGTACTCTTCGCTTATGATCGTGGTGTACTTTCTCTTGATCGGGGTGGTGTTGCCGCTTGTGGTGGGCACCTGGTGGAACAACGTCAAGTCGGTGACGAAAAAGGGGTTGTACGTCGACACTGCCACGTTCATCGTGCACCAGTTGACCGACAGAGTCCCTGGGAAGGTGTTCACACCGTTTGACATTTTGGACTGGATGCTCCAGGCTGGCGAGATCACGCTCATCAGAGGGAACTTAACGGTGGAGCAGACAAGGGCTCTTGTGTTGGAGTATCTTGCCAGAGACTTTTCCGGTGACAACGAGCTCTTGAAATTGAAGGTCGTGGCCAAACTTCCGGAATTGATCAAAGCCTTCATCGAGATCGCCACTGTATTCCGGGTCCTGGACGTGGTGATCGCAGCCTATGATTTGCAAAAAGCTATTTACCAGGCTTCGTCGCCAGTTGGTAAGCACAAGGAATTGTTGCAGTTACCTTATGTTGACCAAAAGACGGTCGAGGCCCAGCCAATTAAAAAGATTGGCAAGTTGCTCACTTTGTCCAAGGATGAATCCGGGAAGGTCTTGGGTATCAAAGATCCCAAGAAATTGGAGATAGCATTGAGCGTCGCAAATAAGATCCCGTTCTTCAAAGTGTTGGACGCGTCTTTCAAAGTGCCGGGCGAGAGTACAGTTGCTCCAAACTCGAGCACTCACTTGGTGTTGAAGTTCTTGGTGAAGTCTGCTGCCTTCAAGTCCTGTCCAAAAGTTGAGGAATCTAGATTGTCTGAGGAAGAGACTTTCGAAGACATGAAAGACCCGTTGAGATCAAATAAGGATGCGCCGTTGTTGCCCCAATCATACGCACCATACTTTCCTCAAAAGCTTGCCAGCTCTTGGGAATGCTTTATCGTGAACCAGAAGGACTCGAAGTTCATCGAAAATTCTGAGGCCGCGTCCTTGGACAAGGTCGATTTCAGCAACCTTGAATTGACCCAAGAACAATGGATTCAGGGCAAGGAAGACACTTTGGTCATCAGCACGTTCAAAATCAAGATCACTCTGGCGGCTCCACCAGAAACAGGACTCTATCATTTCAGGTTGCTCATGAAGAGCAACTCTTACTTTGGCAACGACGTTGACATTCCACTAGAGTTGAATGTAGTAAACCAACCTGTCGATATGGAGGCCGTCAAGAGAGCTGCTAGTCAAGAAAACTCTGATGATGACTCAGATAGTGACATCTCCGACCCTGAGGAAGACAGTATTGCCGGGGCATTAGCTGCGATGAGAGGCCAGAAGGTAAAGAAAGCTAATATACTGGGTGAAGAAATTGGAGAGTCCGACAATGAGAGCATATTCACGGATATCAATACGGATACCGAGGATGAAAAGGAAGATTAAGCACGAAGCGATGCTGCTACAGCATATGAAAACTAAGTTATCAATCGTTTCTATTGTCACTTATGTATTACTCAAATAGCGCTAGAAGGAGATAGAAAGGATCGCTGCGTCAGGCTGAGGTAAACCTTGCTCCTTGTAATAGTCTTTTACGACTTCGTCCTTTTGGACAAAGCCCTTCTTTTTATACCATTGGATAGCTTCATCATTCTCCACATGCACATGAAGGAAAATCTCGTGGACAAATCTTGACTTGGCCTCAGAAATGATCCATTGAAGGAGCTCACTTGCGACGCCCTGGTTCCGGTACGCTTTCAATACCGCCAATGACTCTAGGTAAAGAGCGTTCATTACAATCTTCGTGTTCATGTTGGACTTGGTTGAAAGCTCGAAATTGGGGAGCTTGTGTGATGTGTGAAAAAGCTTGCCTTTGATAGCACCAACTGGAAGTTCATTGTAAAACGCTAGTTTAACTATTTGAGCGCTGTCGAGTGATTCTTTGTACCAGGACTCCGGGTATGAGGTGGGCAAAGAAACCTCGTTGATTTTCTTGAAAGTGCCCAAATTGTTTGGCGTCAAATCGTCGAGCGTAATGACACTTCTTCCCATTTTGCGGTATGTTTTATATTGGTAGACTCGAATCTTCAGTGAAATTTAACGCATGGCTCTTGGCGAAATCAGTGCGACTGCGAGCAGAGCCAATCCAAACAAAAACTTATGAGAGTAGTCAGATAAACATATTCTTTCGAGTTGGTACTTAAGTATAAGATGAAACTGAATATGCTGTGCTTGAATTTCGGATGGATCAATCCCAGCAAATTGCGAAAAACTGATTACCTTATGTTTGGGAATTCGAAATTATGGCCCGCCATTATTCGCGGGCACAATCTGTTGGGTACATCATTTTAACCACTATCCATAAGATCTGCGGCAAGCAAAGAAAAAGAAAAACAGCGTCCAAAGTTTTGCTCTACGACTTACGGCCAAAGTCGTTTTTTTTTTCCTTTTGAGCCCCTTCTTTGTATGTATCAAAAGATAAAACCACCGTCGTTTATAGTGACCCCGCGACGTGCGGTGGGCCTATTTTTCGATTGACTAATTCTCATTCTACTACTGGTTAAGCTAACCCTCTGCGAACCACAAAGAAAGAACAGGTCACTCAACAAACCTTGAACCTCAGAAGCCACCATGCTTTTTACCATTCTTATCGTCTTGATCATAGCTTATCTAAGCAGATCAATCATTCTCGACTTGACAAGCAATCCGTTGGCCGAGACTGCGCAGCCCCAGGAGCCCCCGGTGCAAACGAAGTTTGTGCCTTCTACGCTTTCGAAATACGACGGAAAGAATGACACCAAGGTTTTCATTGCCATCAAGGGTGTAGTCTTTGATGTGACTGCAGGAAAAGGTTTCTACGGTCCCGGTGGCCCATATGAGAATTTTGCCGGCAGAGACGCCTCACGTGGATTGGCGCTCAACTCGTTTGACCCATCGGTGCTCACTGCATTGAACGAGCCCCTCGACACCTTAGCCGACTTGTCCCTGGAGGAAAAAGAGTCTTTGGAAAACTGGAAGCTGCATTTCGAGAAAAAGTATATAATTGTCGGCTCGCTTCATAACCCTGGGGAAATTGATCTTTGATCTGAGCTTAGGGTACGTATACGAGTAATCCAAGGTTACAACAGGAGTCTTCACGATATATGCGATTTAGTATCAAAAAAACGAAAATCAATAGGCTTATGGCTTACTTTTATTCTGGTCGTAATTATGCGTGCTTTTGTTCATTTTATTCCTTCAAGTTTCTTTTTAGAATAATGCAATTGTCAATTTCATCAGAACTTTTATAGGCTTTAGTAATTCAACCCCTTCTGGTGCGAAAATCACCTTTGAGCAAAGTAAAAAGATTCTCTGTATAAATTACATTTCCCTATAAAAATGAAGAAAAAATACCATACCAATTGAAACACATTGATCTTATCACAGCATGGATTTTTAGTACCAACATCATCTATGAAACACCCGTTAGAAACGCCGTAGAGGCAAGCCATTGCTGTCCCTTGTCAAATTATAACATGTAAGTACAGGATTTCTCACTTTTGGAGATGAAAAAAACCTCGAAAAGACCGCACAAAGCTACCAGGCAATCAGTTGACGCACTGTCAATAACGATAGAGAAAACACATTATGAGTTTCGGAGGCAGAGGTAGAGGTGGGTTTAATCAAAACTCCAACATAAATTCACAGGCTGCTTCTGGCCCAGGCCAGAATGGCATTCCAGTCGAGATCTTTGGCTGGAATGGTGCCTCGCCAGCGGAATGTATATCGTTCATTTCAAGAAAATGCAGGGTTTCTGTTACGAACTACTATGTCGATAACACCGCAGGGGCTTTGCGGGGCTACGTGCGTTCCGAAAAGGACGCCAACGACTTGATTCTGTGGTCTGGCGTCAGGTTTGCAGGGAACTCATTGAAAATCACAAAATCTGCGGTTTCCGGGGCCACGAGATCGGCTGGTGGAGATATTATCCAAACACTTGAAATATTTCTCAAGTCCCGCTACAATGCTGAAATGAAGCTTTTAAACCTCAGTGCTGTGCAGCAGGACCCGGCATTGAACGCTAAAGGATTCTTCGGAACCATGACCACGTCGTCAAAGTTTTTCCCGGCACTCATGAAAATCGCCGCCGACTCAAAACTAGAAGTGACTAGTGCAGACTTGTCCAGCAATAACTTGACTGACTTGTCGTCCATCTCAACCCTAGCACATACCTTTCCCACGTTGAAAAACTTGTCTTTGCAGAACAACAAGATTAGCCGGGTCAAGGTGTTTGACGTGTGGAAGAAGAATCTCAATTTCTTGAGAGAACTTGTGATGCACGGTAACCCGCTTCTAGATACGCCAAACACACATGATATCCTCAACACGAAGGTCGAGCTAATGAAGGTATTCCCTAGATTAGTCGTCTTGAATGGCGAAGTTCTTCGGAATGAACAGGCACTTGATCAAATGATGAGATTGCCGTTCGGACAGCCCCAGCCAATGTTTTTCCTGGACGCTGATGTGCAAGGCATCTCCACGAATTTCATCTCAAACTTCATCAAAATGTGGGACGACGATAGAGCTGGGCTAATGGTGTTGTACCAAAACGAATCGCAGTTTTCCTTGCAGGTTGACTCGTCGCTGCCTCATGGTGCCACTCCAAAGGGTCCTCCGGACTTCAGCTACTATCTCCCGCTGTCGAGAAATTTGACGAGAGTATCATCCACCAAGGCGCGTGCCGGCAGAGTTGCCACAGGTCAAGAGCAAGTGTTCAAGATCTTTTCGCAAATCCCCAAAACGCGCCACGACTTGATGACTAAGCCAGAGAACTACAGCATGGAAGCCTTTAAAATCACCCAACTAGGTGCTATCAGCATCACCCTACACGGAAACTTCGAGGAAGTGGCTATGCCCGTGGACACCCAGCATGTGAACCAGAACTCAGGACCAGGCAGAGGAAAATACAGCCATGGTAAGAAAAGTAAAATCCCTTTGGGCTGGAAGAGTTTCGACCGTTCGATCATCGTAATCCCGGGTCCTAACAACAGTATGGTGATAGCCAGTGATCTACTCTGTGTTCGAACGGAGTCCGACCCCGAGGCGTTCAGGCCATCAGAAAGCACAACCGCTACACCTCATGGAGCCGTGTCTTCAGCGAGCCCTTCACCTGCGCCAGTTGGTGCCAACCCTGGAATTGCTATGGGAGGGGCCATGCCTGCTGTGCCTACGCTTGGTGGTCCAACAACGGCAGATCTACCACATGAGTTGAAGACCTCATTGAGCCCGCAGCAACAAGAATTGCTCGTCAAGGTGCTTTTGGAAACCAAACTCAGCCTACAGTATGGGTTCATGCTCTGCCAACAAAGCAATTGGGATTACCATCAGTGTATCATGAACTTCAAGAACTCTGCCTCGTCATTGCCCCCCGATGCTTTTGCTCAATAAAATAACCTAATCACATACTAAGTAAATTCATAGCTCACTAATACAGTTTTTATTGCATATGCCGGTTCATTCTGCTCGCGGAAGGCCTCTGCTGAGCACTCCCAAACTTAAGTTACCGCGACGCGGTGAAGCTAGGCCTCACAGACGAAGCGCATCCTCTGTAATTTTTGGCTTTCCTGGAAGTACCTTCAGTAACGCGCTTCTGTCACATTCATCATGGCTCGATCGTTGAATATAGCAATGGTGACGGACTTTTTCTATCCACAACCCGGTGGAGTGGAGTTTCACGTATACCATCTCTCACAAAAACTTATAGATCTAGGCCACTCAGTGGTGATCGTCACACACAACTACGGCAATAGGACAGGCATCCGTATGCTAACCAATGGCCTACGAGTTTACTATGTACCACTAGCCCAACTCTACCGGAGCTCGACTTTTCCCACGCTTTTGGTGGGGTTTCCCACACTCAGGACCATATTTATCAGGGAGCAGATCGATATCGTGCACGGTCACGGGTCGTATTCGGTGATGGGTGCCGAAGGACTTCTTCACGGCCGTACCATGGGATTAAAAACCGTGTTCACTGACCACTCTCTTTTCGGATTTGCGGACGCGCAGTCGATTGTGGGTAACAAAATCCTAAAGTTTACTCTCAGCGATATTGGCCATGTCATTTGCGTTTCGCACACATGTAAAGAAAACACCGTGCTTCGTGGTTCGCTTGATCCACTAAAAGTGTCCGTGATTCCAAATGCTGTGGTCTCGGAGGACTTTGCGCCCGAATACGAGAAGAAATCTGAGGGAGGTCGTATAACTATAGTCGTGATCTCGAGGCTATTTCCTAATAAAGGCGCTGACTTGCTCACGGCTGTGGTTCCCCACATATGCCACGCCCGTTCAAATGTCGATTTTCTTATAGCTGGCGATGGCCCCAAGTTTCTAGACTTGGAGCAGATGCGGGAAAAACATTCACTTCAAGACAGGGTCACGTTGATCGGGGCTGTAAAACACGAGGAGGTGCGTAATGTGATGGTGAAGGGCGACATTTATCTACATCCATCCCTCACTGAAGCTTTTGGCACTGTGTTGGTTGAAGCGGCATCCTGCGGATTATACGTGGTCACAACCAAAGTCGGAGGGATTCCTGAAGTACTACCACAGCACATGACAAGTTTTGCCGAACCTGAAGAGGACTCGTTGGTGGAGAATCTCTTCAAGGCTATAGACCACGTGAGCTCTGGTGAAATTGATACCTCTCTGTTCCACAAGGAAGTGGCATCGATGTACAGCTGGAAAGACATCGCGAAAAGGACCGAGAACGTGTATTTATCACTTGCTGACACTGAACTACACCAGCTGTTGCTCACGCGTTTACTGAAATTCTACTTTTGCGGTGCAGTGGCGGGCAAATTGTACCTTTTGATTGTGGTTGTGGACATTTTCATTCTCATGATATTGGACTGGTTTTTCCCAGCGGAACACATAGATCTAGCATCTAAATGGCCACGGAATACAGCCTCAACTCCGGAAGTGGCAGAAGATTGATTCTGCAGAAAGGACGCTAGTGTTAAGACCTCGTGAGAATGGCTTTCAGAATCATTAGCGCCTCTTTGCGTTTCTTTTGCGCGATCTGGAGAAGGCCAATACCTGTATTTTTGTTAACAGGTTGCTTCTGTCTCGTGAGAGGCACCTCGAGCCAGCTTTCATTCGAGGCAGGTGTGTTTGGTGTCGATCCTTTGATACATACCATTCTTTTTAACAAGTTAATTTCGTCAATCAATGACATCGTGCTGGTGTAATCTCTCATTGCCTTGAGATTTTCAAAGACAGGAATTTGTTGATATTCAGAGAGATGATCAGCAGAACGCAAAGTGTCTAATTGAGCCAGCAAATCTTCATTGGCCAGAAGTAAGTCTTTCAATTGTTGATCCAACTGTTTATAATCCTCCCTCACTTCGAGTAAAAGTTTCTCGGTTTTTTTGAGCTCTGTCTCCTTGCCAGCAAGAGACCCAATCATATTTTTCTCCAAGAGTTCAATTTGAAGATGCAAGTTTTGAATCAGTTGAGTTTTTTCCAAAAGCTGAAACTCCAATTCGGATGTTGCCTCAGTATCTATACTTGCATCATTGTTGGAAATTTCAGCAACAATCTCATAAATTGCATGATAGGATACATCTTCAAATTTGAAACCTTTCAAAAGGTCATCTGTAAGACCTTCGAGAGTTCTGGCATCCTCACTCAAGTTGATCGAAGAGTCACTGAATTTTTGGATGAGTTCATTTTCCTCGAGCCCAATTTCTGACTCTACTTCCTTTAAAAGATCGCAAATGACTGGAAAAAATTTGACATCCCTTTGTGAGAGCGAATAATCTTCACTGAGATCTTTATCTAAGTTATCTTTGAGGAGATCAAGTTGCTCGGCAGATATTGTCACCAATTTCGATCCTTTCGAGATGAAATCCGATAAGTTGTTCTCGAAGCCCTCAAGTGTGGAATTATCATGAGGGTGAGTTTTTAGGATGTGTCTTAATATCTCGACTGCGAGTCTAACCTCACAATGCAAAAACGAGTAGACATAGTGTGCTTTAATAGACCTCGGCACAACAATATTTTCGCAGGTACTCTTTATGAATTCAAAAGATTCTGTGGTAAATGAAAAGTCCAAAGAGAATAAATCATCGGGGACAAATCGCGAAACACAGTCATCAAGACGTGAGCTCACGAAATATACATGATCCTTGATTTTTTCATTATCTTTCTCAGAGTTGTAGTGAGCATATTCTATGACACTCTTCATGTATGAGAGGGCATATTTAAGCCTCTCAAAAGAATAACATGCCTGGCACATGGAGCTAGAAAATGATAAGGCCTGTAAATGTGAGAGTATTGCAGAACACGAGGAAAGACACTTCTGAAGGGTTACAATCAACATGGTTTGATCCTTGTATTTGTTTGGAACCAATTGTGGTGGAAGTGCCGAAATTGAAGCGAGATTTTCTCGTATGATGGAGTTTACAAATTTGGTCTTCGAATCTGTCAATTTTAACTTCTTAGACTCAAGAACGAGTTGCTCGAACTCATGGGCATTGAAAGGTAAGTTTTCGTCTCGAAGTTTCTTTCTGAGTTCATTTTGCTCTTTCACGAGCAGAGAATTCACCGACAGAAGCTTATCGAGCTGTTTCTTGTGGCTGAGAATCTCATTTTTAAGTGTGGTGACTAAACCTTGGAATTCCTTCTCCACGAGCGCATGGTTTTCTTCTATGCTTTTATCTATTTCATGGAGTTCCGTGAGTTCCTTCACAGACTGGGTAAGCTCGAGAACTTGATTTTGCAAGACCTCATTTTCTGAGGTTAGATAGTCTATAACCAGGCTCAGTTCTGCAGAGATCTCAAGTTCTTCATGAAGCTGGGTGATGATAAGTTCTGAAGCCTTTAACTTCTCTGATATGTTACTATGTGACTCTTCCAACGTAGTCAAGGCGTTGGCTTTTGTATTGAGAAGTTTAAGAATCTCAGCTCTTGAATTCTGCGCTTCCTCAGACACCCCCTTCAAAGAAGTTATCGCAAGCTCTAGCTTTTTGTTATGCTGGAGAAGAATCTGGAAATCATCGGAGGAAACGGGGCCTTGAGGCGACAGAGAGCTCACAGCCGCTTCCAAAGCCTTGTGTATCTCCAATTCTTCGTTGACAATGGAGAAGTCTGCCGAAAGATGATCGTACTGTTCCCGAAGAGACTCCAACAGTTGAAGAAGTTCACCATTTTGCGCTTGGAGGTACTCCAGTTCTACCGTGGACTGCTCCAAAGAGACCTCGAGCTCATCACGAAGCCGCTTGTTATTCTCCAATTCTATCTGTAATGATGCGATAGTTTCCTTGCATTTTCCAATCTCATTGACGGCCGCCTTGAGCTTGACTTGCAATTTGTTCACCACGACCTTTGCATCAGGCACAATCAGATTCAAGCCTTCAGGCGCTCTCTGTTCTAGAAATTCAGCGCGAACAAAGACACCGTAGTTGCCTGCTTTTTGGCAGTCGAAATATCTGACGCCTTGCACCGCACCATCATTTCGCCCGCGTGGATGGTCTAATTCTACACCGACCCATTCACCTGGCGCAAACTGGGTGGCCCCAACATAACGCACGGTTCCAGAGTCACCGCGCACATTTACGCGCTGACCTATGGAAGCGGGTGCCATTTCCTCGTATTCTATAGACTAGGAAGGAATCTTGAGTTAAGATTAAGGTAGGTATAAAGGGAGCCCCCAGTGGTGCGCGCTTTGATCAGAAGGACTTGAAGACTGAGAAGAGGGAAGCAGCAAATTGCAACCACCAAACGTATTTTTTTTTTTCAGTAAAATTTATTTCCATTGACATTGAAGTGTATTGGATAAAATTTATTGAGGGAAGATTTTGGGCCCAAATGGGGTATATTCTGATAGAACATTGGGAACGCGGCACTTTCAGAATTCGAGAACGAGGTAAACACTGCGCGCATTCATGGTGCTAGTAGCCCAGACGAAAACACAGGAATGCAGATCGCGAGAGCTGGTCTACAAAAAATACACTTTCTTCCAAACACAAGGGCCAAGCTCACTCAATCGACCTGTCGTATACCTGCTGACAATAGTGTCTTTCATATTTAAATACACCAAAGGCCCCATACATTAGAACAATCAGACGATGTCCTCAGGCGGTGCAGGAATCAGTGGCCTGAAGAAAGGGCTTGGGAACTTGAAAATGGAGCTTCTCAACGAGCAGAAACAGGAAATCCGCGAGGCGTTCTCGTTATTCGACATGAACAATGACGGTTTGCTCGACTACCACGAGTTGAAGGTAGCGCTCCGTGCATTGGGCTTTGAATTGTCAAAAAGAGAGGTTTTGGACATCATCCACGAATACGACAGTGACGACAGGAACTTGATTTCGTACGAGAACTTCTTCCATGCGGGTATGTTACCATCGCCGTGGACCACGGAATGACCTTTTTCGCACATTGGTGTGTTTGCCACCATACTAACGCTTTTAGTCGGAGAGAGAATAATAAATAGGGACCCCATGGAGGAGATACGCCGAGCATTCAAGCTCTTTGACGACGATGGCACCGGCAAAATCAGCTTCAGAAACTTGAAGCGGGTGGCCAAGGAGTTGGGCGAGAATTTGACCGACGAAGAGCTACGGGCAATGATCGACGAGTTTGATCTAGACGAGGACGGAGAGAGTATGTTACCCTGATCTGATTGATTATTTCACCATCTGCCATCGTGAATTTGATGGTGCTCAATTTGCGAAAGCCCGCTTGCGAACTAGCAGCCGGGCTTCGTCCAATTTTGAGGCATGCATGACCCAATTACTAACATCACAGTCAACGAACAAGAGTTCATTAATATCTGCACCGAGTAAGGTGACGCAGCACAGCGTTTAGTGGGCAGCCGGCGCCGCGCCCGCACGGGCCCATGGGCAGAAACCTCGAACCCGCGGGTCACGTGACGCACCCAAAAATTTTCTCACCGGGCCTCCTAGTTACCGTATTGAACGAAGCCGTAGCGCTAGGTATACCAATAAATAACGATATGTCGTGGAACACAGCCAAAAAACGGTTCCAGTTCGACTTGGCCAGGTACCCGGAGTACTTGCGTCCGGCCTTACGGGCGCTGCGTCCAAACCCTTCGTTGCCAACTTTCGAGAACGACCGATTTGTCGCCGACAAGGACAAGAAAACCACCTTGGAAAAAGCTGGCATCGCCCCGGGCGACTTGGCGTACGTCGCCGAGGGCGAGCACAAAGGCAAGGTCTCATCTGTGGTGCGTTACAACACCGAAAACGACACATACATGTTGGCCGACATCCTTGAGAAGAAGCTCACGCCCCGGTCGATGTGGTCGGCCCAACAGACCAGTTTTCTTATTGAGATCCCCAAGGAATTCCCGGCGAGCCAGATCAAGTTGGCCGCCAAGGACAGAGACGAACAGGGCAAGATCTCCTACGTGGTGGCCGACGAGGTCGTGCACAAGGAGAAGTACTACGATGCCAAGTACTACAAGTGGATGCCTCGGCGATTCGTGAAGCACCACGAGAACATCGAGATCCCGTGGCCCAAGCCGCCCGTGGAGGCGGAGACGGACGAGTTGTCGACGGAAGGCGAAGCCGTGTTCCTCAAGACGTACGAGCTCCAAAGCATCGCCCGGTCGCCGCTTCCCAAGGGCGTTTTGGCGGAGCTCCGGAACCCCTACTCGCGCTACAAGAAGAGGACGCTCACAGAGGAGCAGGCCCGGAAGCTCAACGCGCCCGCGATGCCGTTGTCGAAGGAGCAGCAGGCGTACTTGGCCAAGAAGGCCAAGGCGCCCGTCAAGAAGCTCGAGCCCTTGTCCGAGGAGGCGCAGGAGTACATCGGCACGAGAATCGCCGAGCACCTTGCGAAGGTGGACCACCCCGCGCTCTTGCGGCACTTGGAGGTGCTCTCGCTGGCCAGGGACCCGGGCCTTGCGAGAGTGATGGATGAGATCGAGGCCCAGAAGGAGCAGGCCCCATAGCACGCGCTCCCCATGTACATACAGCGAGTCGCAACCGCACGCAAACACTATCATTGGATTTATGCTCTATACAGTTCGAGCCGCCGTCTCAGAGCTTCTCGTAGTCCAACTTGCCCTCCAACTTCTTGACGTCGGCGACCTTCCGCACGGCCTTCATCAAGTCGTTCTGGACAATGTAGTCGCGCTCGTCCCTGATGGCGAAGAAGCCCGCCTCGGTGATGACGTTGCGGATGTCGGCGCCGTTGAAGCCGTCGCTCATCTTGACCGCGGCCTCGAAGTCAAAGTCGCCCTGCTTCGAGACCTTGGCGGTGTGGATCTTGAAGATGTCCAAGCGGCCGGCCTCGTTCGGCAAGCTGATCTCGATCTTGCGGTCCAAGCGGCCCGCGCGCAAGAGCGCCGGGTCGAGGGTGTCCGGGCGGTTGGTGGCCATGATGACCTTGGTCTGGCCCAAGGTGTCGAAGCCGTCCATCTGGTTCAACAATTCCATCAAGGTGCGCTGGATCTCGCGGTCCGCGGAGGTGCCCTCGCTGAAGCGGCGGCCGCCGATGGCGTCGATCTCGTCCATGAAGATGATGCACGGCTCGTGCTCCTTGGCGTAGGCGAACATCTCCCTGATCAAGCGCGCGGACTCGCCGATGTACTTGTCGACGATGGCGGACGCGGGCGAGAAGATGAAGTTGGCGCCGATGGTGGCGGCCACGGCCTTGGCCAAGAGCGTCTTGCCGGTGCCCGGCGGGCCGTACAACAAGACGCCCTTGGGCGGCTTGATGCCCACGCGCGTGAACAACTCGGGGTTTTTCAACGGGAGCTCGATGACCTCGCGCAACTCGCGGATCTGCTCGGCCAAGCCGCCGATGCCGTTGAAGGAGATCTCGCCGGGCTCGAACGTGGTCATGTTGTAGACCAAGGGGTCGACCTCGCGCGGCAAGAGGCGCATGATGGTCAACGTGGTCATGTCCAAGGACACGCGCACGCCGTTCTGCAAGCCGTGCCTGGGGATGGTGTTGCGGCAGCCGACGATGTAGCGCGGCCCGCTGGACGCCTTGACGATGTACGTGTCGTCCGAGAGCCGCTTCAACACCTCGCCCACGATCTGGCCCACGGACTGCAACGCCTTGATGTCGTCCTCGGTCTTGTCGTACGACGCCAGCAAGTCGCGCATGCTCAAGCGCATGTCCTTGAGCCGCGCGTCCCACTTGCGGTGCTCCACCAACTTGTCCTTGAACTTGGCCAACGCACGCACGCGCTCCTGGTGCTCGGCGGCCTGCTCGGGCTGCTCAGGTTGTTCGGGTTGTGCGGGCTGTTCGGTCTGGGCGGCGGTCTGGGCGGCGGTTTGTGCGGCCTGCTCGGGGGTCTGCTCGGCGCCGTCGTTGTGCAACGCGGCCAAGAGCGGGTCGCTGTCTTGACTCATTTTGGTGCTGCGGGCGGCGGGCGTGTGGGGTGCGATCTCGCGGTGCTGGGCGTGGTTGTGTCCAGGGGGGGTTGCCAGAGGTGGTTTCCGGGTATGTCCACAGGTATGTCCAGAGGTGGAGTCAATAGGTCAACGGAATATAGGTTTCCACAGGAGACGGGATTCCACAGGAGACGGGATTTTACACGGGCGCTGTGATTGGCGTTTCCACGGGCAGTTGGCAGACAGTTGCAAGGCGCTTGCAAGGAGGTCAGGGTGGTTGCGACTGGTTGCCACTGGTGGATTGGTGGTGGATTCCACTGGCACGAGGCAGGCGGCGTGCGGCAATCACTTCTGGGCGCGCCGCGGCGCCAGGGCCAGGACAGGGCCCGTCCAGGGCCAGCGCCAGGGCCAGCGCCAGGACCAGGCCCTGCGGCAGTGCCCGGCCAAGTCCACGCACACGGCCCCGAAAAGCCAGCGGACAACGGCAGCGGGACCGCGGCACGGCGGAGGCCCCGCCGGGGCCGTCTCGCCCTGGGCTGCCCGCCGCGCCCGCCGTTTGGCCGTGCCCTGGCAGCACCCAGCGCTGCGGCGGGCGCACGTGACCGGGCGGCGGCGGGCCAGGGAAGAGGCCAAAAAAAAAAAAAACCCGAGCGCGGGCCCCAGGGCCTGCGGGCCCGGCTCTGCGCGCCCTGCCCTCCACCGCCCTGGCCCTCCACCACCCTCGCTTTCCTGGTCCTGTGCTCGCCTGGTCCTCCTCCTGCCACCATCCATCTGGCCCCCCACACACCCACCCATGGAATTCCACGCCGTCATCCTCTGCGGCCCCGGCAAGCAGTTGGCGCCGTTCTCGCAGCAGCGCGCCACCGGGGCGCCCAAGGCGCTCTTGCCCGTCGGACAGCGGCCCATGTTCGAGCACGTGTTGGACTGGTGCGAGAAGGCGTTCTTCCCCAAGGTCACGCTTCTCTGCGACGCGGCGGCCGGCGCGGCGGTGCGCGACGCCGTGGCGCGCTACAAGGCGGCCCGGGCTGCGGCCGTGGCCCTGGCGCCGGACGTGCTGGACGTGGCCAGCGACGTGTTGCGGTTCCTCCGCGGCATCGACGTGGCGGAGCACGGCGCCGCGGCCAGCGGGCAGGCGCTCCAGTACGTGGCGCAGCACGCGGCGCCCGGCCCGCTCGCCCACTTCGTGGTGTTGCCCTGCGACCTCGTCACGGACTTGCCGCCGCACGTGTTGATCGAGGCGTACCGCTGCCGGCGCGCGGCGGACTTGGGCATGCTCGTGTGCTACCGCCCACGGCCCGGCCCCGAGGACAAGAAGCACCGCGCGGGCCCGCGCAGCTACACCGTGTACTCGGGCCTGCCGTGCGGCGGGCGCGCGCAGCTCTTGGACTACTACTCCGCGGCCGACGTGGCGTTCCACAAGGGCGTCGCCGTGCGCACGCAGATGTTGTGGCGCCACGCCACGCCCGCCGTGAGCACGCGGCTCGCCAACGGCGCCGTGTTCTTTGGCGACGCGCGCGTGCTCGCGGCGCGCTTGCGCAGCGTGCCCGCCAAGTTCGGCGACGCGTACTTCGCCCTGCGCCCGCTCATCAAGGTGGTGCGCGACTTGGCCCGCCGCGAGTGGCAGAGCCCCGGCTGGGGCCTGAGCGTGGGCCTCGTGGAGGTGCCGCGCCAGGCCGTCTTCCTCCGCGCAAACACGCTCGCGGGGTACATGGAGGCCACGCGCCACTTGCTCCAGCGGCACGCGCGCGACACGGCGGGCGCCAAGGACAGGCCCGCGGGCGCCAAGGACAAGGCCGCGGCCGCCGTGGGCGCGGACTCCATGGTGGGCGCGGCCTCGCGCTTGGGCGACAAGACCAACGTCAAGCGGTCCGTGGTGGGCGCGCACTGCACCATCGGCAAGCGCGTGCGCGTGACGGGCTCCGTCGTGCTCGACGGCGCCGTGGTCGAGGACGACGTGCTGTTGGAGAACACCATCGTGGGCCGCGCGGCCACCGTGCGCAGCCGCTCGCGCTTGACCAACTGCTACGTCGAGGCCACGCACGACGTGCCCCGCGGCACCCACGCCAAGGGCGACACCTTGCTCTGCTTGACCTTGGAGGGGCTCGTGGAGGCCGCCGGGGACAGCTCCAGCTCCGATGACGCCGCCTCCGCCAGCAGCTCCGACGACTACGACAGCTACGACCCCGACGACGGCGACAACTCCGACGGCTTGTTCGGCTACTAGCGGCCCGGCCCGTGGCCCTGCATGCATTGGCGACTTCCCAGAATATATATATATATATGTACCGTGGCCCCGTATCGTCGGCCTGCACGCTCCCGCCCACGTAGACGGCGGCGTCACGCGGCGCCGCCCGGCGCCTCCCGCTTCGCGACGTCGCGTCTCCGTCTCTTGCCGGCGTCCTGCTGCGCCCTCGCCGCGCGCCGCTTCCGCCTCGCGTCGCGGTCGCTGCCCAGGTCCGACGCGTCGCTGTCCGCGTCCAGCTGCGCCGCGGGGGCGGCCGCGGGCACGGCCCTGCCGGGCGCCTTGCGGTGCTTGGCGTGGAAGCTCACCGAGAGCGGCGGCACGCCGGGCCGGAACGGCGTGTGCGACGCGAGCTCGGGCGGGAACGTGAACTCGTGGTCGCCGGCCCCGGCCAGCCCCGGCGCTTCCAGCGCCGCCGCGGGCGGGCCGGCCCGCGCTGCGTCCTTGTGCGTGTACAAGTTGGTGAGCTCGGCGCGCTTCGTGAGTGCCCAGTTCTCGATGTCTTCGCCGCTGGCAATCTCCGCGAGGAGCTCGTCCAAGCACTCCAAGTAGCCTTTGTGCATGAGGAGCACGCCGGAGCTCGTGCCCAAGCGGTAGAGCGAGGCCACGGCCTTGGCCGCCGTGGCAAACTCCGCCTGGACGTCCGTGGCGCCGGGGCCGCGGTCGCTTTTCTGCGGGCGCGCGTTGTAGAGCGCCGCCACGGACTTGGCCGCGTTCTTGAACTCGTCCGTGAGCTCGCCGGTGAGGGTGCCGAGCGAGACCAGCTCGAGCGACTTTGTGGGCGGGAGCGTGCTGGAGAGGTTTGAGAGATCCATGGTGCCGTGCGCAGATGAGGGGAGTGCAAAGCCACGCTGCGGCGGTTCTGGGGCCTCGGCGGGTTTGGGGCCTCGGCGGTTTTGGGGCCTTGGCAGTTTGTTGGCTCGGCGGTTTGTTGGCTCGGCCGTGGTGGGGGTTTGCCGGGCGTGGGGGTTCTTTTCAACAGAGGCTCGGCGGAGCGTGGCACGTTGGGTTGGTGGTGGTGTTGAAAACGGGAGATGGCGCGGGTGCTCTTTTGCTACAGGCTTCTGGTGAGGTGCGATCGGCCCTGGAGTGCGACCGCATCGGCGCCCGCCGCGCCCTGTAGTAGACAGTCTCAGGGCAAGACAGGGCAAGACAGGGCAAGACAGGGCAAGGCAAGACAGACATGCCCATGCTATTTTTTTCATTTACAGCCCGAGAGACCGCCGCCGGGCCCGGACCGCCCGATCCACAGAGATTGCGGCCGGCGACAGAAAAAAAAAGTGTCGCCCTACGCAGCCCCGGCTGCTCTCGAACGGACCGCCCTGCTGCCAGGCCCTGGCCCGGCGCGCGCACGGCTTCCCCAGAGATCAGAGCTGCGCGGGCCCTCCGGCCCCATGCCCACCACTGCATCATCGGGCCAGCTCAGTACCAGAGCCCTCCAGCACCAGCCTCCGAGTCTGCAAAGAACAGAGCCCCCACCACCCCCGCCTCTCCGCCCCTCCGATCGTCTTTGAACACACTATGGTGAAGTCCACGTTGATCTATCGATACGACGGTACGTATATGCCCTGCCCGCCATCCTTGTCCTCGCCGTGGGCGGCACCAGTTGGGCGGCCGCACTGGATCTCGGAGGCCCCGCACCCCACGCTCAAATCCCGGACACCCACACCCGACGCTTAGATCTCGACGCGTGTGCCTCCGAACGCCATGTACTAACCCGGCAGCACTCCCTCTTTGCGGGTCTGTGGACGACTCAGTGGACCCGGAGCTCAACGAGCAGAAGAAAAAATGCAAGATCATCATCAGCAGAGTAACCCCCAACTCCGAGCCGCAGGCCACCATCGAGTCCGGCCGCTACAACATCCACTACCTCATCAGCAGCAACGTCATCTACCTCACCATCTGCGAGAAGTCGTACCCGAGAAACTTGGCCTTCCTGTACTTGACCGAAGTCAGCAACGAGTTTGGCCACATCCACGGGCGCGAGGCGCTCAGCAACTCCGCAAGACCGTTTGGCTTCAGCTCTTTCGACAACTTCTTGAGCAAGACCAAGAAAATCTACCAGGACCAGCGGGCCCAGCTGAACCTCGACCGCCTCAACACCGACTTGGCAGACGTCAAGAAGGTCATGACGAAAAACATCGAGGACCTCTTGTACAGGGGCGATTCTTTGGACAAGATGAGCGACTTGTCTCTGAACTTGCGCAATGACTCGATCAAGTACAGAAAGAAGGCCCAGCGCATCAACTTTGAGGCCATGATCAAACAGTACGTCCCGATCGTGGGCGCTGGCTTGTTCGTGGTATTCTTGATATGGTATGTGTTTCTCCGTCGTTAAACCAACACAGTCATGGAATCTACGTAGATTACGAAGCAATTGAAGATTCTCAACTTATTCGCCTCATTTCGGCTCGCCTGCTGGAGCATTTTTCACCTACGACGTAGCTAGTGGATCCTTGTCCACAGTTTGCCTGAAACACAATCAGAACTGACTTCTCCACAAAGGTCTCGGCCACTTAGGAAGCGACAAACAAAGTCGTGCCACTCAATGTATACTATCGTATATTCTAGGATAAACATACTGCGTCAAACGCATTTGTACATGGCACACGAGTATCTTGTATAATTACCATATCCGCGTTCCTAGTGGTGAGTGCGCACATCGGTGTCCCCACGTTTTAGATTCACAAGTTAGCAGTCACATCATATCAACGCCACTGCCTGCAAGCAATACCAGACTGTTTTGCATTCCGCTCAAGAGCCACATGTCTATCCCCCTCGAAACATCAGTCTAATCCGTTCGCTTTGGCCCAGAGTAACCTCCCAGATCTCGTGTTTTGGGATTTCAACGTGCGCTCTAAAAGAATCGAGTCCCCACAAATCTCTTCAAATTTGACCATATTTCAAGAAACGACTCTTCTTTTGAAATTTCGTTGCACCGAGGATCGTGGTTCTCAACCAGAATCAACTGACCGCAAGAATGTCGGGCCATAATTATGAACATCCACTGCAGGCCCCGAGCCTCCGAAATGCCCTCTCTTTCATTTCCCAAACTGGGATGCACCCGGAGGCAAATTTGCATGCAGCAGGCGCCATCACTGCAGTGTGCTTAAAAAGTGCCGACCAAGCAGAAATCTCCACAAGTGAGCTAGATCACCGGCCAGATGAGTTGGACCCTGTTACTCTGAATATGCCGTCACTCGGCAGCAATTTCAGTACGCATTTTGGCAGTGGAGTCAGCTCTGATGACGACTCGTTCTCGGATCAAAGTAATGCTGCCATTCAGCTTCCAGATCTCTTCAACAACTTGATGTCGTCTACAGGCCATAGACGAGATAAGAGCTATGAGACCTTCAATAACTATAACCTGCTTACAGAGGACGACACCTGTCTTGACGAGGAATATTTGCGACTGAAGGTGCTTGTAGACAAACTGAATCATGAATTCAAAGCAAAGCTCAAACATTTCTTCATTCTATCAGCGGCGGGAAAGCCCATCTACTCTTTACACGGCAATGACGATGTTCTTTTGGGATACATGGGGCTAATAACAACAATAATTGCCAGTTTCCAGGATGGCTTGAAGCAGGAGGTCACTTCAGTATCGCTGGGTCTGCTTAGAATCGTGGCCAAGAATAAACACCCGCTTATATTGGTAGCAATTTCCAAAATCCCACACGAGATAAACTCAAGTGCCCCAAGCAATAAATCAATCCTAGAAAATCAGTTGGAGTTCCTTTATAGCTATATGCTTGCCGTGCTTTCACGAGCAGTAATAGTGAAGAAATTCGAATCCGGAATGAATTATGATCTACGAAGAATCTTAACCACTCAAGACTTCAACGCGCTCGACACTTTGGCCATGAAACTTACCTACGGTGTTCATTCCACAGATGAAAATGCTCGGATAATTGATACATCATATTCAATCGGGGCTTCCCTCAATTCCATCCGCTGTGTTAGAATCAGCAATACATGTCGTACTAAACTCAGTGACATTCTTCTCTCTGTCAAAAACCTCAAAGTACCCAAGGAAGACGGGGATTTTGTTTCTACAATCTCCAACAAGCTCTACATGACGGAAGAGATAACGCTTGTGGCAGCTGATCTCCTTTTTGGATTCATCACCATGGAAGACAGAGTTGTAACACACTTACGCCCGCGAAATCATAAATTAACAAGCAGAGATATATCTACCTTGCTCTATATCATAGGACTGAATTCAGAGTCTTTGACCTCAGGCAAAGACGCAGATTTATGGATTCCACTATGTATGCCCGAGTTCAATAATTCTGGGTTTCTTCACTGCTATGTCAAGACGTTTCTGCTTAGCTCTTGTGACCGACCCATGACTATTATTCTCGTAAGTGGCAACAAGAACTCTTTCTTCAACATGAAAGAAGCAGCAAACTATGCAGTTGCAAAGATAAAAGGAAAGAAACTGTTTTCAAAGAGGCTTGGGATGGAATTGTCTTTGTCGAACGGCAAAAGCACAGTGTTGGGCGAGCTCAAGATTTCAACAATTAAGCATTTCATTTACAAACGCAAGGAGTATAATCAGATCTTTATTGATGATATTACACAAGAGACAGCTTTTTCCAACTTATCAAAGTTCCAATATTCCTCCCTGATAATATCGCTCTATTCGAATCTAATAATTTCGAAGGGAGACGAAAATGACATGCCACGATTCAAATCGAAAAAGCTTACGTACTCCCGTTTACACACGGAGGAGGATTTCATTACGGGGATTCTTTTGACAGATCAAAACTATGAATTTTATTGCTTGTGCGAGGGATCCGTTTCATCCCAGATAATAATCGATGAAAGCCTCCGAATTATAAAGTGGTGTGACCGCTACAAGAGGCGTTTGTTCGTCGGAGAAGGCATTTGCTTCTGAGTTTATTTCATTATAGCTGTTTCGGCTGCTTTAAAGCTGTCTTCAAGCTTCTTCACGTACTCCTTGTGCACACTCTCGACTTTCTTCCAAAGTGCCTGTTCTTGGTCGTTCATCTTCTTCTTGGTGGATATCTTGTTCTTGATATCTGCTCTGATAGCCGAGAGAGTATGCGCATGTTTTCCTGATCCACCTGCCCCGTTTTTGAATTTATCAAAAACAGCCTTCAATTGTTTAATGCTTTCCTTCTTAGACTCTGTTGTCACGGGTGGCAAGGGCACCTTCAACATCTGTTTGTTCGAAGGATCAAGAACTGGGTTCATATTCAAATCTGAAGCCAACACTGCGTTGACAACATGCTTGACGTTAGCAGGATCAAAAACTGTCATGATGAAGTTACGTCCTTTTAAAGCAGTGATTGCTACGGCCGTGTATGGAAGCTCCCCGTCTGGAGTCTCAACTTGTAAGTTGTCGAAAATTTGAGGATTTGTCTTTCCCAATTTGGATTCATTTGCATGTTTTGCGAACTTGTCGAGAACACCCTGAAATCTTTGAGAGACCTCGTCGAAGTCGATTTCGGGGGATTTGGCCGATTCTGTTGGCTCATCTTTTTGGACTGGCTCTTTACCTCTCTTCTTGAAAAGAAGAGGCGACCAGTGAATATTTCTGCATGGTTTGAGGTTTGAGGCCAAGAAGACTCTCGAGGTATTTGCCGAAGCTTGTTTTAAGAGAATTGAACGCAACATGGTGTAATGATTATAAAAGTTTTTTGGTAAGACTTGGACGCATCTTACGATGTGCGTATACTCCATGCAAACCGGGGTAGTCGATTCGAGAAAACCTAGTGCCAACACTAGCCACGCGAAGCAGCCGATACAATTGAGTTACCGGACCCAGAAATTGTTTGACAGACGCCGTCAGTTTTTCAGAGTGTCATTGGAAATTCTGCAAGTGCCATCTATCATATATCGTAATACAAAATTGGAATATCTCGTTACTTCTCCTGGGATGCCTCATAAGCCTTCTCAAATCGCTCTAAAACACCTAAACACTTGTTGGCCTGTTTCCCAAATTCTCCACCTTCCTTCACAGCATTGCCAAGGTTCTTTCTCAAAGGAAGCAAGAATACATCGTAGGTGATCTTTCTTCTCGTTTCTTGGTCCTCAGTAGATACGCTGTCGATATCCGAGAGCGCAAAAGAGCCCTCTGCCGCTTCTGTGGATTTCACGTCGAGGTTTGTCGGAAGATCGTCCACATATAGCTTAAGTTGCGTGTACGCTTGCGGGTTAGAAGGTAAAAGAAACCGCGAGCTTTGAGGGTGCACGGCAGTACATTTGGTCCAGTCTATTGAAAACGAGCTCGCGTTGATTTCAGGTTCGAATAGCGAGCTTTCAAGTAATCGTTCGAGAACAGCAAGATGGTTTGTGCGCACTTTACTGCTGATACCACCAAGGGTATCCGAGGTATTGACTGCAAGAGAAATGGCCTTTTTATCTCCAGACAAAGTCCAGGCCATGAGGGGGAAGTAGCTGCGGAGCGTCTTGACAAAGTGACCCTTCACCAATGGGATCGGGGCTTTTTTCACAAGCACGTCTAGTACTTTGGTAGAAGAGCCCCGAACCTCGCTTTTGATATGGGTCATTGCTGAGTGTACGAAAAGAACAATTGTACGCATATGCAACTCAAGGAATCCCGCCTGCTTGTCTGCACACGCCGATAGAAGAGACACAAAGGCATCACGCACAGAAGCAGAAGGATCGGTCACGAGAGATATCGTCATTGTGAGGATTTGTTTGTACATGGAGGTGTTTGATGGTAAATGAGCCTCGACAAAATTGACCACTTCCTTTCTGGTTGAGGCCAGGTGATGCTTCATGAGCAGAAGTTGATGTGTGATATCAACGTCGCCCTTGGAATGTGAAACATCGCCATTACCACCACTTTTCTTGGAAATAGTCTGGTTCGGGAGCGAGATCGACTTGGCCGTGAACGACGTGTCGGTGTAATTATCTGGTTTTGCGAGAGTCTTTCCGACTTTGAGCTTCGTCTTCTGGAAGTCTTTTTTCTTTTCGTTTCTCTTTCTCTTAGAACCCATATTTGGTGAATAGCTTAGAGGATATTTGGAGGGGGGGGGGATCTGAACAATGATTTGCTGGTATATATCTGCTAAGATGGGCGTAGATGGGCACCGAAATTTCGCTCGCGATGCGCATCGAGCTCACCGCCAACGGCTCCTCCAAATGTATGAGGACTATCTGCCTGCGTCTGTTCTCACACGGCGCCTATAAATTAAATAAGCACTAGCCCCTAATAAAGGGTTCTGATTTAAATTCGAGGATTCGGGTGAAGTAAAGATAGACTGCTGTTTTTGTTGCAATACTGCTTGATCTACTTTGTCCCTACTGAAGATACATTACAGTGTCTGTTCTGGTCGTGACCATTTAATTCGACACAACACGTTTATCCAACCAGACTTAATCAACTCTCGCCGTCCTCTTCTACTGAGGGCTGTTCAAAGAAACTAAATCGACGCCCCTTTCTGCCCTGCTTAAGTCTGCGACCATTGTAATATACCAACGAAGGACCCGGTTCCAAGGCATGAGTGCATTCGAAGAACTAGGCGCAGGGCTTGGATCCTTGTCTCTAGGAAATCTTCATGGAAGTGCAGGCCCTCATGAAAACGAAGATGATCTTATGGATATTGACAGTTTAGAGTCATATGACATGGCATTCAGCCCCCAAATCCATGATACCAGAAATGACGAACTGGCTGGAAGAGGCGTGGACACCGAGGGAGAAATTCTTGAGGCCGAGGAGGATTCTGAATATGTCGATGAGGACCTGCTGATTCTCCATACCCTTAGCCCGACAGTTTTGGGGGCAAAATATGCCCTAAAGCCACGGAGGCTTCTCATGCCACCCCCACCAAAAATCGAACGTGAAGCGCCCGGATACCAAAGTTCCGCTCCGAGTGGCTCGGACGGCCTTGAATACGACTACGAGTTTGACACAAGTATGCTGACCAGTGTGGGCAGAATCGGGGACGCGTCGGGGACGCGCCAACGCCATGTTGAGGGGTTGAATGGCTTGGGCCACACTCATCCATTCATGCGTGATCGGGAGTCTCTGAGGTGTTCTGTGTTAGAGCCCCCAGTGCCAGCACTAGAAAGTTTGACAGGCAGGTCCTTGCAATACGAGTCTAAGTTGAATCCAATCCAAATTCACCACCATCACTACTATCCACAGGAGACAGATCCACTCGAGTACGGTGGCAAGAACCAGCTTTCTACATTTCAAGACAGATTGTTCGGAGGGATGCCAACGAGTCTACATAGAGCGGGTTCGGCGCTGCCAGCGATGAATAGCGTGGCGAGAAGGAACCGTGCTTCCTCAATACTTAGCACGCAGAATACGCATAATACGCATAATACGCAGCAGCTACTGTTGCCCAATGCAGGCATCTCTTCCCAGATGCTCCCATCGCCATGGGACCCGCGGGCAGTGCCAGCAGAACGCACGCCCTACGTGTTGTCATCCTATCTACAGCTACTCATAAACGTGGTACTTTCGGGGTACGCGGTGCACATAGTGATTGCTATTATACAAGCAATCAGGCAGGACGTTGCACACAAAATCAACCAGGAGGCCAACAATCTCTTGGTTGAGATGGCACTGTGCGAGCGGTCTTATCACGAGAATTATTGCTCGCCCGATACGATCGTCCCTGCGCTCGAGAAAATGTGTGCGTATTGGGAAAAATGCATGAATCAAGATCCTTTCCAGATCGGGAACCGATCTCTGGTGAGCGCACACACGATAGGAATGATTTTGAATTCCCTAATTGAGCCCTTGAGCTTTAAGTTTTTGGTCGTGGGTGCAGTCGTGATCATGATGGTCTTTGCTTGTAATTTCGCCTTCGGTTACATTCGAGCCAAGACGTACTACGGGTGGACCTCGGCAGCGCGTCGCATTTAACAGCCGACCCAAGAATGCAGTCCTGTTATCTCCGGGCCCAAGATGTGGCGCGCGGCAAAGACCGTCGGCCCTCGGATCGGCAGGACATGGAAAAGCCACAACATACGCAAAGAACTAAAACATGTACCTCGGGATTCTAATTTGTATCGTTGCATCAAAATTAGAACAGTTCACCCTCAGCAAATCCGCGGACTCACAATCCCCTGTAAACATCCCGAATTTTGTGAAATAAACAGTATCAAGTCTGCCGCAATGCTCCCCGAAACTCATGTCCCGGGCAGTTTTCGGGGCCGATATTCTTAGGACAATCTGGAGATAATCAGTCTGGTGGTGTCTCTTCTCGCGGCTTGATCACTCCACTGACGACACGCTCGTGGAATCGCACTATGCACAGGAGAATGACCTCTTCATGCCCTATTTGTTGTTGTATGTGCGACCTTGCCCGATGCAGGAAGACGAAAACCGATGACCCCGGAGCTAAGCAACTTACCTAACTGCACACTCAATCTTTAGGTAGCTGATAAAAAACCACACAATCCTGGTATGCATCAGAACCTGAAGCATGTGGAACTCGGATCTTGTTTTAATACATATGTTTTTTGATGTGTTTTGGGTACACAATAGATGCATGCATGCCGACGGGCCGACGTGCGGACTGGTATCTCCGGCGCACGCACGCCAGAATTGATAAAGGGCATCGATGTTGGTGCCGGAGCTTATTTTGTATAAAGCGTCTGTGCAAGCCGCGGCTAGAAAATTGTTTCAACTATTGACGAGTTCTCGCCAGCACGGACATCCCTTTCCTAAAAACTTCATCTTGTTGTTTCTTTTGTGTTTAAACCTTCTGAATCTTTCGGGATAGCACCACTCCAACACATACAATACCAATGGGGATCTTGGGCACATCGCACTCGGAAGAACAGGCATTGAGAGCTGCGGCGCCACAGAACAGAAACAGCCAAATGGCATCGATTTCTTCTGTCGATGCTTCGGCGTCCTCTGCTTACGAAACAGCTTCTGAAAATGAAGCAGAAGACTTCGAGGGAAATCAGAATGACCAGCCAGACACGACTCATGAGCAAGTCGTCGATAATGACGCAGAGAGTGCGTCTACAATCCAAGATGTGAATCCCAACGAGGCATACGTCGCAAAGGATTACCCTGAGCCGAAAGTAACTGACGATGCTGCAACTGATGACAATGCGGTAAGGCTGGTGCAGAACGATTTGGACCTCATGTCACCAAACATGACCGAGAACGAGTTGAACAGAATCGCCACCACTCTTACCGAAAGGTCTATGGCCCCCTCTGTCGTGAGATCCATCACCAGAGGCGAGCCTGTCAAGCTCTCTGATCTTGAATATGACGGTCCCGACGACAAAGCCAATCCTCACAACTGGCCCAGCTGGAAAAGATGGGTCGCGACTTTCACCATTGCTAACATGTGTCTTTGCATTTCTTTGGGCTCCTCGCTTTACGTAGAAGGTGTTCCAGGCCTCATGGTGGACTTTGGCATGTCTCAAACACTTGGTCTTTCCGGTCTTTCTTTTTATTTGCTTGGTTTGGCTGTTGGGCCTGTGATCGGAGCGCCACTTTCTGAAATGATCGGCCGTCGTTTGATCTACATCACCACTTTCCCTGCCGCCATTCTCTTTACCATGGGTGTTGGTTTGGCTCAGAACACTAGAAGTGTGCTCATTTTGAGATTCTTCACTGGATTCGTTGCTTCACCTCCAATGTCCATCGCTGGTGGTTCCATCACAGATATCTGGGCAAACGCTCCCGAGCAAATGTCCACTGCCATGGCCTTATTCTGTCTTTCTCCTTTCTTAGGTCCAGTTATCGGCCCCATTATTGGTGGTTTCGTGGTTGAAAATAAGAGTTGGAGATGGACAATGTGGGTTTCTATGATGTTCTACGGAGTTATGTTACCTTTTGTTTTGTGGGTTCCAGAGACGTTCAAGCCTGCCATTCTTAAGAAGAGGGCAAAGGCTAGAGGCATTAATTTGATTGTGGAGAGACCAACCTTCAAGCAACTCATTCAGATTCACTTGTTCAGACCTCTCGAAATGCTTTTTGTTGAGCCTATTGTCGGATTGTCCTCAATCTACACAGCTTTTGTCTTTGCCGTGTTGTTTGGATTCTTCGAAGCATTTCCTATTATCTTTAGAGGCAAGTACTTGATGAGCACGGGTATTTCCGGTTTGCCTTTTATTGCTGTGGGTGTCGGACTTGTTGGCGCAGTTTTGGCTTATATTGTTTTGGACAAGCTTCTCTATTTCCCTAAGAACCCCGATGGAACCAGGGGTAAGCGTGATGAAGAAGGTAAGCTCATTTGGGATGCGCCAGAATCCAGGTTGCTCATCGTCGAGATCGGTGCCTTCCTTTTGCCAATTGCGTTGTTTTGGCTCGCGTGGACTTCACGCAGATCAGTCCACTGGATTGCTCCAACTCTTTCTGCTGTGCCTTTTGGATTCGGGTTACTTTGGGTATTCTTTGGTATCATTCTTTACTACTCGATGTCCTTCCCACCAGCATATGTTGCTTCTGCATTGGCTGCAAACAATTTGCTTCGTTACCTTGTCGCTGGTGCTTTCCCTTTGTTCACTGTTCAAATGTATGAGAGACTACATGTTGGTTGGGCAACGTCTTTGTTCGCATTCATTGCCGTTGCCATGGTCCCCATCCCATTTGCATTCCACTATTGGGGTGTCAAGTTGAGACTGAAATCCAAGTACGGCTACGTTGCCTTGTTCAGAAAAATGGCTGAACAAAGAGCTGCGGCTGAAGCTCAAGCAAAAGCGAATGAGCCAGCTACCGAGGAAGACAGAACAAATACCAGTGAGACCATAGAAAACACTTCTCAAGATGTGGCCGAGAAAGTCTAATTCGCACATTCCCAGCACTCATACTCTACTCATTCATAAATGTCTTGATCCCTCGAGACCCTGCAGCTATATATATATATATATATATATATACTAC